CTCCTGTGTCGGCCGAAGAGCACGGCGCGGCCCCGTCGCGTGAGAGGCGTGGGGGCAGCAGCAGCGGCAGCAGCAGCAGCAGCGGTAGCAACGGCAGCAGCAGCAGCAGCAGCGGTAGCAGCGGCAGCAATGGCAGCAGCGTCAGCAGTAGCAGCAGCGTCAGCGTCGTCAGCGTCGTCCCAAACAAGAACATGTCGCTGAAATGCCGATGGAGGAACAGCCCTGGGTCGTCTTTGCTGCCCCAACTAACCGTCGCATCCCCAACAACAACGACAATGATGACAACACGTGGAGGAGGAGGAGGACTTCAGGATATTTCCTCCATAAATCGAAGGATCAGGGACCTCATGCTGTGGTGAGGTGTGACCCATCAGGCTTGACTGCCCGATGCGTGTTTTTTGTATCGTTTGTTGTTGTTACGTTGTGACCCGCCCCGACTGGACATCTGTGAAAAAGAGCTTTATAGCTCATAGGATTCCTCCAGGATAAATATTCAGATTTTGATGCAATACACATCATCTGGTGGAACCAGCGGACTTCTCCACTCCGCTACCACCCCGGATGATGTCGTGGAATGGCTCAAAACATTAGACACGCGACCATAGCCTGCAGCAGCAGCTGCTGCTGCTGTTTTTTTCCAAACGCCACAAGCAAGGAGAAGAAGAATAAGAAAAGCCGTACGCACGGGACAACAAAGAGAGTCCCCGAGCACTGACTCGACCTGACACCGGGAGAATACGCGTGATCGTTTCCACTATCTACCCGCGTGCGACTCGCCGCGTAATTTTCCACCACTGCCAACCCCAGCTCGCGGAGTGCGGCGGGGGTTGGACAGACAGCTCACGCTGGGGGGGGGGGGGGGGCTCTTCCAGCTTCAATCAAACGTCCGGGCCGTCTGAAGCCGGCTCCGCTAACCCGCGCGTCGACGCTAATGAAGTTGCGAGCGAGGGGACACATTCATCCTGACGACGCGAGAGAGCCCTCGACGGCTTTTATCTCTCGCTCGCCCCGCGTCTCTCGCCCGGCCTCGACGCCTTTCATGTGTGACCCCCCACTCCCACGCGCCACTCCACCACCCACCCACCCAACGATGCCCGCAGGGGAAGACGCGTGGCGGCTCGCTGGCTTTGCCCACTGCACGCGGGGCGACCTGCCGATTTGCGGTTTAAGGAGGGAGGTCGGGCTGCAGAGGGAGGAGGGAAATTGAAACTTCTGTGGTGGTGTTGGTGGTGGTGTTGGTGGTGGTGTTGGTGGTGGTGTTGGTGGTGGTGTTGGTGGTGGTGTTGGTTTTGTTGATGTTGTCGTTATACTGGTAGGAACCCACTGGTTCCACCAGCCCACAGGGGATTATTGTGTCCGTCTGTCGTGCATCCAAAAATGGGAGGCGTGGGGCTGGGTGGAGAGGGGAGGGTGGGGAGGGAGGGGGAGGGTAGGAAGGGACTGGGTGGGGAGGGTAGGAAGGGGCTGGGTGGGGAGGGGAGAGTGGGGAGGGGCTGGGTGGGGAGGGGCTGGGTGGGGAGGGTGGGGTTGGGTGGGGAGGAGAGGGTGGGGAGGGGCTGGGTGGGGAGGGGCTGGGTGGGGAGGGTGGGGCTGGATGGAGGGTGGAAGGGGTGGGGCTGGGTGGGGAGGGACTGGTCACCCCGTGGTGCCCTTATAAAACTCAACGTTTAACCTACTCACTCCGGCTTGTGCCCGCCTTCACAGTCAGGCATATTTGCGTAATACACCACGCCGCCGTTGACCCTGGCCATTGACCGATCAACCTAACGTTCCTACCAGCTCCCTCCGCAGGAATGTGTTTCTGCTCGTTTACCAAGCAAAGCCACGCCGGGGCCTCAAGACTCTGTTTTGAAAGGAGGGTACTGCCAGGTTTTCGCAGGAGGGGAGCGAGCAATGTTCTAATCATATAATAATCTTGATTATAATTATTTCAACTTGTTAACGCGCCACCATCACGGCCGGGTATTCGCTCACTCTGGAAGAGAGGGAACGACTCGGAGGCGCGGGGAACCAAAGGCGAGCGGGGAGGCAGCAGCGGTGGCCAGGCAGCGTGCCGACGCCAACGATCGCCGGAATCCTACGGTCCTCCACACGCGTTGTCGGCCACGTAATAACAACCGAGTCACTTGCAGGTGATTTTTCAGCACGCGGATGTTTGGCCAGGACCTGTTGCATCTCCGCGTGATCTCTCGGTGTTCAGAGGCAGCCACTGGCTAACCGCCGCACAGCAGAGACGGATTAGGGCTTTGTTCCAAGATTTCGGCAAAAAGGTGCACGTGACCTGAATTACAACGCGGAGCCTTGCCACGGCCTCATCCACGCAGCCAGCATCGCCGGGTTCTGTCCTCCGGGCTTCACGGCAAGCCGGCCGGCTACAGAGCCAATCGTGACATCAGGATTGCTGCTTTCAACCATTTAACACCCCTTTGGGCCGCTTCTCAAATACAATTTTGTTTTTTAAAGTCCCAAGTTATTTCTGGCTCAAATGAGCATTGAGGCGCTGCTCATCTCTCATTCACAGCCGCCGAGCCAGTGGTGGACACTCCACATTCACATGGCGGTGGGAGAGCCTCTCCGTGGGCCAACTGCTGTTGACTCGCCCACAAAGCGGTACTCAATGTTACTGGCCACACAGGGGGATGATAAGCTGAGTCAGTCTCTGCAACATTCGGACTGCGAGCTGCTGCTGGGCTACGTGGATTTGTGGTGCTAGTGGCCAAAACCACGAGTCGAGTGGTCGGCAGCCAACACCGCCGGAGCATTGGTTTTGGCCACCAAGCCGGCGCTGTGCGGCAGACACCGAGCGACTCTTACAAAAGGCGTCCCTTTCTTCTCTGGCAATCTTGAATGACACGTACACGCACGCTCGTTGGCACGCACGCACAAACGCACGCTCGCTCGCACCGCACCGCAAACAAGCACGCACCAGTCGCTCGCTCACGCCGCAAATACGCGCAACGCGGCACCGCAAAACACAACACGAGCACCACACGGCTCGCGACGCCTCGCACAATCTGCCAGGTGGTGGCACTCAAATTAACATTCGCCCCGAAGAACCAAGAGCATCAAAAGCCCGGGGACCCAGCTGCTGGACACTGATGAAGGCAGCGAACACGGAAAAAGGTTTTTAATATTTCCCATCTAATCCGGGCTCACTTCATTAACATTTCGGGTAAAGCAAGTCGTCGGGGAAGGAGAATGGGTTCTGGGGAAGAAGCGTTACCCCGACATGATTGTGGCGATTTCATCAAAATCGCACGGCTGAAACCGTGCCCGCATAAGCGTTATGGGGAAGGTTACATTTCTTCACGCGATTTGGATTGCGCGGTGGATCGCGGTTCGATTTAGGTTGGATTACGAGTGGATGGCAGTTGGATGGCAGTTGGATGGCAGTTGGATGGCAGTTGGATGGCAGTTGGATTGTGGGTGGTTTGCGGTTAGACTGCAGGTGGATTCAGTTGTTTTGCGGGCAGATTGCAGTTGGATTGCAGGTGAATTGCGGTTGGATTTCGCAAGTGGATTTAAAAATTGCACTGCGGGTGAATTTCAGTTGCAATGCAGGTGGATTGCGGTTGGATTTCTCTTAAATTTCCTTTGGGCTGCAGGTGGATTGCAGTTGAATTGCGATTGGATTTCGGGTAGATTGCAGTTTGTGCAGCGTGACTGTCCACTCCATTGACCACCACCAACACCGCCACCAGCTCTTGCCTTCTTGAAACGCACAGCGATGGCAGGGGGCATCTCAGAATGACGATGACGATGATAATGATTGCTGCGCGAGATGGCAGATGCACACACGAGATTAAGAGTCTGAATTGCCTTGGGAAAAGCGGGAGTCTGCAATAAAACAAAATAATTCGCTAAACTATCCCATCTCTTAGCCACTAACACAGCTGAATGATATGCAGGCGAGGTTCACTGCCAATTGGAGGTCGTTTTATTGTTGTGCGCGTGTGTGCGCGTGTGTGCGTGTGTGTGCCTAGTGCAGCAGTTAGCGCACTGCGCTACGAACCCGGTGACCCAAGTTTGAATCCCGCTCACAGCCAACACCCGTGACGGTTATCTGAACTGGTCCTGGGGCTCCCCTAGGTCAACTCAGCCTCAAATGAGTACCTGGTACGATGTGTAAACATCGCCACTAGGGAGACAAAGGCGGCCGGGCGTGGTATTGGCCACCCACCCCTTTGTGTGCTGTGCCGGCCTTTATAGGTGCTCGCTGACACGACTTGCCCCTACAGTCTGTTAAGGCTATATGGGGGATCTTTGTCTTTCTCTTTTGCCTGTGCAGGGAGCGGTGGTGCAGCGGTTAGCACGCTGCGCTACGAATCCGGCGACCTGGGTTCCATTCCCGCTCACAGTCAACACCAGTGACAATTATCTGAACCGGTTCTGGGCCTCCCTTAGGTCGACTCAGTCTCAAATGAGTATCGCACGTGGTGCTGGCCACCCACCCCCTTAAAGTTCCGTGTCGGCCTTCATAGGTGCTCGTTAACAGCACTTGCCCAAACAGTCTGTTAAAGGCTAAACGGGAGGGCCATTATCCTTTTGTCCGTGTGGTGGGTTGCATGCACGTACATTTCCTTATTTAGGATTATCTACTCAGGAAAGCCTCGCCGAGTCTCAAGTCTCTTTTCCAGGAGGGTCATTCCAGGTTTACACAGCAGTGGAACAGTGTTGTTGCTCTTCTTGGTTCTTTCGGTAAAGTCACGTAGAAGGGAAATAATACAATAATAAAAATAAAACATAATAAAATACAATTCTCACGACGTTTCGGCCACAACACAAGCAGCCATCCTCAGGTGAAGAACAGGTCTGTCGGAAAGACAGATGTCGGAAAAACAGACCTTTTATTAAGACAGAGTTCATGGGGAGAGTTCGCGGGGAGAGTTCGTGGGGAGAGTTCGTGGGGAGAGTTCGCGGGGAGAGTTCGCGGGGAAAGTTCGCGGGGAGAGTTCGCGAGGAGGTACGTGGGGAGAGACGCGGGAAGCGAGCGAGCTCACCCTGCAGGGAGTTGTGGGACACGTCGATGGTGCGTAGGCTCGGCGTGGCGGTGAGGCTATCCGGGAAGGTCACAAAGCAGTTCCTGGAGATATCGATGAAGTGCAGCTCGGTCAGGGAGGCCACCGCATCCGGCAGCGACTTGAGTCGGTTGCCCTGCAGGTGCAGCTCTGACAAAATGGGAAAATAAAACAAAGCATCATCAGCATCGCCTTCGACACCGCCGACTTAAAAAGTATAATCACGCACTCGAAGTGCTCTCGTTCCCCACACTTTACCCCAGAACATACGACCTACCGATCGGTTTAACTGCGGGGCACCCATTCATGGCGGGGGGATTTAGGAAAGTTGCCGCGTTGCTTCAACTTCCGTGCCAAGAGATGGAGTCGAACCGGCGACCAGTGCGCTACGCAACTCTGCTCACAACCATCGTCACCCCCGCCCGCCGCCCTAGCCCCCATCGCCCGTAACAAACTGGGAAATGCACGGCTCCACAATTCATCACGGACCATGCACTTTGACTCTTAAACAAACAACCTGAACACCAGCAGATTTTCATTACTCCTATCGAATTGGCCAGAGGTTTTATTTTTTATATATATCTTTATTCCGAGAACAGGAAGCGGCAACGCATTAGAATCGCAGCACCGTCGCCGGGGGAGAGGAAGAGGAAAGGGCACGCACGCGTGGGCGCGTTGTCGGGAGGGGGGAAGGATGCGGGGCGGTCGTGCTGCGCCCTTTGCGCGCTCTTTGGGTTATAACGCACGAGACGCCGGGGATGCCACGACCCCAAGCGAGTCTTACTCTCGCGAAACGCGGGTCAAACTGCCGCGCGGACAAAACGATTGCCGTATTCTCCCCGGGTTGCGGCGCGCGCCCATTCCCCCGGTGTTATAAAGAAAAGCTTGCCGGTGCGTCACGTGGTCCGGCACGAGCGAGCGTGCGCGCGTGATACCAGATTTGTGGGGAGCGGCGGCGCCGTGGTTAGCGGCGCTGCGCTACGAACCCGGCGACCCGACTTCGATTCTCGCTCACGGCCAACACCAGTGACGATTATATGTATCGGTCCTGGGCCTCCCCTAGGTCGACTCAGCCTTAAATGAGTACTTGTGCAATATGTAAACATTGCCACTGGGCGGTGTTAGCCACCCAGCCCCTCGTGTGCCATGCTGACCAACATTGGTGCTCACTAACAGAACTTCCCCCAAAAGTCACTTCAGGATATAAGAGGGATCTTTAGTCTTTGCGCTTGTGTTCCCACATTGGCGTAACTTCATTGGCACCGAGCACAAGATCGAGGTACGCCTTACTTTACGAGGGGAAGTATAATCCGCAAAACGGGCGAGTTGCACCATCTTTCTGGGTGGGGTTTGTACATTCTCTCTCCACCCCCAGTTCCGCATGAGTTTTCCTCTGGGTTCTCCCGTTTCTTCCCATAGCCACCAAAAAAAGTAAGACGTACAATGTCACTGGAATTGGCAAAAACAATATCCAAAGAGCTGAAAACATGACCTGCAAATTACTCAATTGGGATCATACATAGCAGCGGCATCGCCCCTGCTCTCCCCCCCCCCCCCCCCCAAATTACAAACATTTGGCAGGACCCTCCTGAAAGAGTCTTGGGGCTCTCCTTGTACCATGCAGGCGGGAGAAGGTGCTTAGGAAGTTGCTGGGCAGCGACTTGAGGATGTTGTCGGCCAGAGATGCGACCCGGACGTCGTCCGCGACTTCCGCCAGCATCACGTTCACCGCCACGGGCACGTTCGTCATCTCACACGCAGACAGGTCTACAAAGACAAAGATCCGCCGTATAGCCTTAACAGGCTGTTGGGGCAAGAGCTGTTAGCGAGTAGCACCTACGAAGGCCGGCACGGCACACGAGGGGGTGGGTGGCCAGCACCAACCCCAGCCGCCTTTGTCTCTCTGGTGGAGATGTTTATACACCGCATTAGGTACTCATTTGAGGCTGAGTCGACCTAGGGGAGGCACAGGACCAGTTCAGATAATCGTAACTGTCGGTTGCTGTGATCAGGAATCGAACGTGGGTTGCCGGCTTCGTAGCGCAGCGCGCTAACTGCTACGCTGAACACGCAGACACAAAGGGGCCGTCCATAAATGACGTCACGCGATTTTGGACTATTTTTTACCCTCCCACCTCGTCACACGGCGTCACAAAAAGTCAGACCCCCCTCAAATATGACGTCATAAAGCTCTGCCCCCCACCCCCACAAAAATATTTCCATTTTTAAAATAAAACATGCTTCAAATCGCTTTAAACTATTGTGATTGTAGTGCGTATTTAATGTGGCGCTGCACTCTGATGTTGTAAGAAAAAACATTTATTAAAAAGTCTATTTAATTAAGTAGAACGTGTTGTCTATATTTATTTAAAGTTGCGCATTTTGATGTGACGTCAAATTTCTCAAACACCCCCCCCCCCTCGTCACACGTCACAAATGTCTGACCCCCCCCCCCCCAGGTGCGTGACGTCATTTATGGACGGCCCCAAAGACACGCTCACCGACTCACACACAGGCAGGTCTACACGGAAACACACAGACACACTGACCCACTGGCATGCTCAGTAATTGAGCATTGAGGGGGTGCTCATCTCCTGTTAATATCCCAGATCTAGTTGTGGACATTCCACGTTCCTACGACGGGGGCGAGTTACCCCATAGGACAACCACTGCAGACTTCGCCACAGTACGGTGTAAAAACAATCGACAAGACAGTGCTGACGAAAGAGGCAGTACACACAGCACAAAGGAAACAATACCATTTTTTTATAATATTGAATCTTTAAGTGAATTGTGTTTAGATGGATGTCACACGGCAGGTGCCGCGTGAATTTGAGCTGCAAATCCTGAGGCTCTGCTGCCCTCTGGCAGTCGAGTTTTGCCACTACATCAATTCAAGGACCCATATCTAACAGAGGGTCGGGGTTTGCAAATATTTGGCAGTTCATCAGCATTGGTTGAAACCAGCCTGACTCTTGCTGATGAGACACTGAATGTCGAAACCGGTCCAGAGTTTTGCTTGTATTAAATAAATTCTCGTGTAAAAGCTATTCCATGTGTAACTGACAGCCGTGTTCGTTATAAATATTTACGATAGCAAGATTGCAATTTGTAGAAAGGCTTTTGTGCAGGTTTATTTTGAGCAAACTGTTGGCAAGAACTTTTTCAAGTAATCTTTGCGAACATTTATTCTCACGCTCAGGCATCGAATGTTTTATGGTTGATGCAAATTACGTGCAAATTGCACGTGCAGATCGTTAAGTTTGTACTGCGCTAAGAAAGCGGCAACCCAAATCACTGGGTTCCATCTCTTCCTTCCCATAAACACATTCCTGCGGAGGGAGTTGGTAGGAACGTTGAGTTGCTCGGTCAATGGCCAGGGTTAACGGCGGCGTGGTGTATTCCGCAAATATGCCCGACTGTGAGGACGGAAACAAGCCGGTGTGAGTAGATTAAATGTTGAGTTTTATAAGGGCACCACGGGGTGACCAGCCCCTCTCCACCCAGCCCCACCCCTCCCATTTTTGGATGCATGACGGACGGACACAATAATCCCCTGTGGGCTGGTGTAACCAGGAGGTTCCTACCAGTATAACTGGGTTCCATCACTTCCTTCCCACAGTAATGTTCTCACCAAATATGAATGTCACATTCTCTTCTGCGGAAAAGTCTAGGGTAATGATCCAATTGACAACCGAACAGTGGTAACCATTGACCCTGTGCGACCCTGTGACCCAGTCACCATCTGACCCTGCATGACCCAGTGACCCTGGGTGACTCCGAGTGACTGAGAGTTACCGTTGAGGCCAAGTGACCCCGCGTGACCCCGCGTGACCCAGAGTGACCACTGACCGATGGAGTCTGTGTGCTCCTCCAGGGTTTCCCTCAGCCTCTGCACCACACGCACCACTCCTGCAGCCATCGTGCCCCGGCAGAGATGCGGCGACCTGGGGGCGGGAGTCCAGAACGTTCTCTACGATTAGTCAATCTAAGATTAGTCAAGTCGGGTGCCACGGTGGCGAGATGTTAACTACCTCGCCTCGTACACGGGAGGTCGAGGGGTTGATCCCGACCCTGACGCCTGCTTCTGTATATTTGGAGTTCGCGGTGTCTCTCTCCCCGTGGTCGCGTGGATTTTTCTACGGGGCCTCAGATTGTTCCCTTCACATTTAGAATAAACGTGCGTTCGGAGTATTTGGCTGATTTAAATATCCACGTGATAAGCCACTTCGTTGAGCTATCATTTGTGGTCAAGTGGCTTAAAAAATAGCTATATAGCTCAGTGGGCCTTATTTGGTAAAAAAAATATATATAGTTCATGTTTTAGTTCAATTCAAATCAAGATTAAGCCAATTAATCAACGAAAAAAATGTAAGCAATCACTTTCTTGTGGTCAATTACTCACTCAGATCCCTTTAAAAATGGTGGCCGCCCTGACATTCTGCCTCCCGAATGCTGGAAACCCCCTGAAAACCACGGCGAGTGTGACGCGCCTTAAGATGTTGAAGATGTCACCAAGCCACGCCCATCACCACCCGTTCAGTGGCACACGTGGGAACTGAAGTGAGATTTTGTTTTACCTTCCCCCACCCCTCAACTACATTCATGTTATACTTTTAGTTGAGTAACTGAGCCGATCATCGGTAAAGTTGTCGATTACTATCAGGTGATGGGTGCCACGGGTTGTCAGACCACATATTGGACGGTGGGTGTCAAGGGCTCTTCACACCGCATGTCCCATCCTCACGTTCTTTACCAATGGATTTTAACAGAATGGATTAAAAATGGCAAAATACGACTTCACAAATACGAATAACATGAGCCGATTGGTTTAAATTTTTTTTGAAAGAAAAAAATACTTTAACACGGTTATTTTTTAAGTTTCACGTGTTTATATTTAGAATTATAAGGCGGTGGTCGTTTAAGTGGGGCACTGCCCCGACCTTATTAAATTATCTTTCCATGGATTGTTATTTTTAAATCCTTTATATTAAGTTCGCTTGCTTGCTTACGACCGTGCCAATCTTTCGGTCGTTTTTTAACCCACTTCCCGTGATCCAATCGAGCTGACATTTCCCACACAGACTCGTTGTGCGTGACAATTAATGTTCGTGAAATTTTTTTAAAGAAATGTTACACTTTTTAGGACAAAAATATTATATTTAATTACCAATTGCTTAATGGTGCAATGCAATCATCTGACCCATAGGTGGCAGCCATCTCAAGCCAGAGGACGAGAGGACTCTAGCCGCCACGCATATAAAGGATTTATAGTGAAAAACTTTGTTTTTACGGGTTATACTTATTTCCACCCCGCACGTGGCCCATGCACTCGACTGTCAAATGAACGCGACGTTTCGACGATGGCTGACCGGCGAGTGAATGAGCAGCAACTCACTGGGAGGCGCTGCAGATGATACGTCCATAACAAAGACAAAGATCCCCCGTATAGCCTTCAACATACTGTTGGGGCAAGTGCTGTTCGCGAGGAGCACCTATGAAGGTCGGAACGGCGCACGAGGTCGGGGTGGGTGGTCAGCATCAAGTAGGGCCGCCTTTGTCTCCCCCTGCCGGCGATGCTTACACATCGCACCCAGGTACTAATTTGAGGCCGAGTCGACCTAGGAGAGGCCCAGGACCCGTTCAGCTAATCGGTGTTGGCTGTGATCGGGAATCGAACTCGGGACGCCGGGTTCGTAGCGCGGTGCGCTCACCACCACCCCCACCGCTCCCCACTACAACACTACCACCATCATCCACACCTTAACGAAAGGGCGCTACACACGACGCCACCATAAGACGAGACACACCATGCATGAAGTAGAAGAAGGCCCGTACACAATACGATGACCACCACCACCACCACCACAAGTCACGCCACACAGAAGAAGCGACTTTCGACGCAACACCATTAAGGCCACCGGCCACGAGAGGAGAGACACCCTGTAACGAAACCCCAGCAGCCAGTGACAGGCCAACCGGTCACGGCACCCCACACAAAGCACCCACCGAGGCAGCCGGCGAACTCGTGCAGAGGAGATGAGAGGGGAGGGGTAGGAAACTCGTCTTGTGCTCCGACGGACGCGGCTGTGACTCACAGTGATGGTGAGCCGTGGAGGAGGAGGAGGGTGGTGAGGAGGGTGGTGAGGATGAGGAAGAGGATGAGGGAGGAGGCTGAGTTACCCGGCTCGGCCAGTAGAGCGCTCTTGCATCGTGAAGACAGAATTAGACCGGGAGAAGGGGGTCATCGCATTTCTCTCCGGGCTAATTTTAAAGTCTTAAGCAATGCGGTGGTGGGGTGGTGTAGTTTCCAAGTGTGGTAATTATTTTCGGGTAGGGGCCGTCCATAAATGACGTCACGCACCTAGGGAGGGGGGGAGGGGGGTCAGACAATTGTGACGATGTGTGACGAGGGGGGTTTGAGAAATGTGACGTCACATCAAAATGCACAACTTTAAATGAATATAGGCAACACGTTCTGCTTAATTAAATAGACTTTTTAATAAATGTGTTCTCCTACAACATCAGAGTGCAGCGGCACATTAAATACGCACTCTACAATTACAATAGTTTCAAGCGATTTGAAGCATGTTTTATTTGGGGGGGGGGGGGCAGAGCTTTGTGACGTCATATTTGAGGGGGGGGGGGGTCTGATTTTTTGTGACGCCGTGTGACGAAGGGGGGGGGGGGGTCAAAAATCGTCCAAAACCGCGTGACGTCATTTATGGACGGCCCCTTTGTGAGCATCGTGAGGCTGCTGTCGGCATCCACTGCCGTGATTTGTGCAGCGGATGGGGTCGAGGGTGGGGGCCGTGAGGCAGAGGTGGGACAAAGTCATTGTTATGCAAGTCCAAGTCGAGTCTGAAGTCATCAAATTCATGACTCGAGTCTGACTCGAGTCCAAGTCACATGACTCGAGTCCACACCTCAGAGGTGGGACAAAGTCATTGTTATGCAAGTCCAAGTCGAGTCTGAAGTCATCAAATTCATGACTCGAGTCTGACTCGAGTCCAAGTCACATGACTCGAGTCCACACCGCAGAGGTGGGACAAAGTCATTGTTATGCAAGTCCAAGTCGAGTCTGAAGTCATCAAATTCATGACTCGAGTCTGACTCGAGTCCAAGTCACATGACTCGAGTCCAAGTCACATGACTCGAGTCCACACCTCAGAGGTGGGACAAAGTCATTGTTATGCAAGTCCAAGTCGAGTCTGAAGTCATCAAATTCATGACTCGAGTCTGACTCGAGTCCAAGTCACATGACTCGAGTCCACACCTCTGCCGTGAGGTTCGTGGGATATCAAACCCAGGGGACCTTCTGCGTTGGGGCTTTCACGTGACCGTGTCGACTGCTATCGACTGCTAATTTTGCCGTAAAACTTTCGTGACTTGCAGGAATTCACATTCTCGGTTCTTTCGGTAAAGTCACGTAGGTAGAAAATAAAACTAATAAAATTGAATTAAAAATAAAAGCAAAAAAATCACGACGTTTCGATCGCTTGTGTTGCGATCGAAACGTCGTGGGTCTTTTTGCTTTCATTTTAGTTTTTTATTTTCTATCTACGTGACTTTACCGAAAGAACCAAGAATACGGCCACCTACACCAATGGCGATTTTTATCTGAACCGGTCCTGGGCCTCCCCACCGCCCCCCCCCCCCCTTCGGTCAACTGATACGGAGTACTCCTTGCGGTGTTACACGTTCGAGTCTGCAATATTTTGCTGTCTTTTCTTGGATTTTCTGTTTGCACATAGTCACTTTAAGATGTTTTCTTGTTCATGTTTTTGTTTTTTGTTTGTTGCGGTTGCACCCGATTCAAGAGCCGAATGGCTCACAGGGCTATACCTAATCAATGAAACTGAAATGTGCCCAGGCAAGAGGAGCTACGGTATATACGGGGTGTTTGAAAAAGATGGACCCGATTTGAAATCGCTATATCTCTGCAACCACGAACCACCCATGAATTATTGACATCACCTACAGTATTTCACGTGCAGCTAATGGGTGTTTTGCATTGCAAAATAATGAAGAGGTGGCAGCAGCTTGGACCTCTTCACCGAGTGATGGATTGGTCATGGCTCGTGGTGATGGTGTGCTTTATACTGGCGATGTCAACTTGTAACTCGGAGAGAGGACGACTCAAGAGGCACGAGGAGGAATTATAGAAAAGCAGGAAAGCAGCAGCAGCAAGCCGGGCGTTCGGGCCGACGATACCAACCGACTGCCTAAGCGTTGCGATCCTCTACGTGTTAAGATGTTTTCAACCAAATAAGGAGTGTTGTTACGTAGCACTAATTTTTGTGGCATTTATTGAAATGACATGCAGTTATGCTGGATAATCACCATAAGTATTTAATTCATATTGTAGAACCGGTTGGTCATGGTAATTAAGGGATATTACTCTGTGGAAATACTGGGAGGTAATAGTGTTGAAATGACTGTTTTAAATAAGAAAGTCAACGCATTCGACGTTTCTGACAACATCCGTTCGTAGCATGAAGGGCCTTCGCCCAAAACGTCTATTATATATTTTAAAACGCAGTGGTATTGTGGTTGAGCCAACGCAGAAGCCGCATTACTGAAGTAACGTGATGTATGACTGATAGGTTACAGCATTAATTGATATGACTTGTACACTGTATACTATGTATAAATGCTGCTGGGTGAAAAAAGTACGGGGACTCATCTACTTACAAACAATTGACTTACACATTTTTAGAGATACGAACAAACCTGACCGTATGTCCAGTTGCCTGTTCGGGACCGAGACTCATAAGTTCAACTGCCGCGCAATAGATGGCGGTGGTGGCATCTACATCTGCAGAACATGAAGAACCAGTGGCATCTACATCTGCAGAACGTGGAGAACCAGTGGCATCTACATCTACAGAACGTGAAGAACCAGTGGCATCTACATCTGCAGAACATGAGGAACCAGTGGCATCTACATCTGCAGAACGTGGAGAACCAGTGGCATATGCATCTACAGAACATGAAGAACCAGTAACATCTACATCTACAGAGCATGAAGAACCAGTGGCATCTACATCTGCAGAACGTGAAGAACCAGTGGCATCTCCATCTACAGAACATGAAGAACCAGTGGCATCTACATCTACAGAACGTGAATAACCAGTGGCATCTACATCTACAGATCATGAAAAAACCAGTGGCATCTACATCTGCAGAACATGAAGAACCAGTGGCATCTACATCTACAGAACATGAAGAACCAGTGTCATCTACATCTACAGAACATGAAGAACCAGTGGCATCTACAGAATATGAAGAACCAGTGGCATCTACATCTGCAGAACATGAAGAACCAGGTGGCATCTACAGAACGTGAAGAACCAGTGGCATCTACATCTGCAGAACATGAAGAACCAGTGGCATCTGCAGAACGTGAAGAACCAATGGCATCTACATCTGCAGAACGTGGAGAACCAGTGGCATCTACATCTACAGAACGTGAAGAACCAGTGGCATCTACATCTACAGAACGTGAATAACCAGTGGAATCTACATCTACAGCAGATTATGCAACTCTTAAATCCATTCCCCGTGTTTAGTGTACACGCCGTACACATTTGGAATCGAAAGGAGTAAAGTTGGGATTTACGAACAAATCGATTTACGAACAAACCTCTGGAACCGACCGCGTTCGTAAGTAGAGGAGTCCCTGCAATTGTTTATTTATTTTAGTGTGACGCAACCACTAATGGCTGACGAAGCCGGTTGCTAAGGTACCCCCTCCCTCACAACCCGCGGGGGGGGGGGGAGAGACGGGCTGTTAGCAACGCCCACGTGACCACGCGCGCTCGCAATCCCATTGGCCGCGGGGGCAGCGCGCGGCCCTGCAAGGCGAGTCGCACGACCGCGCCAGCCAATGAGCGCCGAGCTCGCCTTCGCGTGAGCCTGCGTGACGTCACGCGATGGGCGTGGCCTGGGGAAACCCGACTCGCTATAAAAGGCGCGGGTGGGCGGTTGGGGGTGGGTAGTCCATTGGCATCAGCCGCCGTTGACCGCAGGCAGAAGCGTCGAAGGAGGGGGGGGGGAGGCCGGGGACTTTACTGATTCAGGGTGTTATTAAACCGTCGGACAATCGAAGCGTCCGGAATACAACAAAGAAAGCAATGGAGGCCAACAACTACAGCAGCATTATCGCGTCCGCGTCGCTGGCCGTGCAGTACGTGGATTCGCTGCTGCCAGAAAATCCTCTGCAGACGCCCATGCGCATGTTCTGGAGCCACATGCTGGAGCGCTTCACCAAGTTCCAGGTGGCTACGTGGGGGTCCCTGCTGGTCCATGAGTTGGTCTACTTCTCCTTCTGCCTGCCCGGCTTCATCTTCCAGTTCATCCCGGCCATGCAGAAGTACAAGATCCAGGCGGTGAGATGAACGGGTCCTCTCCTGCACCTGTTTCTCTCTCTGCTCCCCCCCCCCACCACCACCCCATGCCGCAGTGGCTATGAGATGTTGACTACCTCGCCTGGTGTTCAGGAGGTCGTGGTTGATCACCAACCCTGCTGCTGCTGTATATTTGTAGTCTGTGTGTCTCTCATCATCACGGTGGCTAGGAGATGTTAACTACCTCGCCTGGTATACAGGAGGTCGTGGGTTCGAGCCCGACCCTGACACCTGCTGTATATTTGGAGTTTGCGTGTCTCTCTCATCATCATCATCACCACTGGCGAGGAGATGTTGACTACCTCGCCTGGTGTTCAGGAGGTCGTGTGTTCGATCCCGACCCTGACCGTCTACTGTATATTTGGAGTTTGTGTGTTTCTCTTTCATCATCATCACGGTGGCTCGGAGATGTTAACTACCTCGCCTGGTGTTCAGGAGGTTGTGGGTTCAATCTCAACCCTGTCGCCTGCTGTTGTATATTTGGAGTTTGCGTGTCTCTCTGTCATCATCATCATGGTGGCTAGGAGATGTTGACTACCTCGCCTGGTGTACAGGAGGTCGTGGGTTCAATCTCAACCCTGACGCCTGCTGCTGCTGTATATTTGGAGTTTGCGATGTCTCTATCCCACCGCGTTTTTCCACCCACCACATGCAGAATTCGGCTGCTTTAAATGTCCACACGATGACGGGAAGCCAATTCTTGGAGCTTTCATTTGTGACGGACAGGTCGCTTCTTTAACAACAAAAAACGATGTATAGCTCAGTGTGGGGGGGGGGGGGGGCTCCTTACCTGGTAAAACATTAAACTTGATTAGAGTCGATGTCAAGGTGAATCACGTGGGTTGCGCTGTGGACATTTAAACATAGCGTGTTGTGTTTTAAAATTCGGCACGGATATAAGATCGATGGGGAGGGAATTCGAAATCGATGTAAAGCGATTGATTACGCTGGCGGATTTGAACCGCCAGCAAATTGGTCGATTTCCTGGATCATCGATCAGCACGATAGCCTAGCGGTCCTCACGTCTGGACTCGTATTGCATCTCACCCAGATATCATTGCCAATTCATTACCCCCCCCTCCCCCTGGGGTCTTAAAAGGCTCTTAGGGGCCGTCCATAAATGACGTCACGCACCTGGGGGGGAGGGGGGGTCCATACATTTGTGACGAGGGGGGGTGGGGATTGAGAAATGTGACGTCACATCAAAATGCGCAACTTTAAATGAATATAGAATTGTTATAACAACACTTATTGTTATAACAACACTCCTACAACAACATCAGAGTGCAGCGCCACATTAAATACGCACTACACAATGACAATAGTTTAAAGCGATTTGAAGCATGTTTTATTTTCAAAATGGAAATATGATTTGGGGGGGGGGGGGGGCAGAGCTTTGTGACGTCATATTTGAGGGGGGGGGTTGACTTTTTGTGAGCCGTGTGACGATGGGGGGGGGGGGGGTCAAAAATCGTCTAAAATCGCGTGATGTCATTTATGGACGGCCCCTATAACCACTGCGCCACCGCTTCACCCGTGTAAGAATGTGGCCTTGCCATTGAGTATAGTTTTAAGGTCGCTGCATATATTCGTATTCTTAAACTCGAGATAACATCAATCTCATACCTGTCAACCCCTTATCGGTGCCTGCATTATTACAGACCAATTCAGACCTCATTAGTCATTATAAATATCAACGTTCATCCTACAAAGTCCCATCACAAGGGAGAAACACACAAATAGACAAACATGATATTTTTTTTTGCCCGTATTGAAACGGATGTACGGTCGTATTGACCTGAACTCAATTTCCCCGTACAAGAATACGGGTAAACCGTGTATGGGTTGGCAGGTATGGTTTACGTGACCTCTACCAGCCACACACAGTACAGGTAGTCATCTCATTACGATGGAGTTGCGTTACGACGACCCCATCGTAAGTCAAAAATATCGTAAGTCGAAGATGGCCTAGCCTACCCAGGAGTCTTAAAGAATGGTGATAATTTAGCAAAACAGAGCAATTTATAGTACCGTACTGTATGAACTATATACTGTATTTATTAATTACAATACTGTATTGCACAGTAAAACGTAAAGTAAAAAAAAAGTAAATTCTTAGCCTACCTATATGAACTGCGATTTAATAGAAAGTTTTTTCAGGAAACAATCCTGTCTGCATCACACAAGGCGGGAGATGCGTACATCCTGGCAGCGTCCTCACGTACAGTATCGTACCTCGTGCGCTGCTGCGTTTGCCTGCCGCACGAAATTTTAAATATTTTACAATTTTGTCGTATCGCCATCGTAAGATCGAAATATCGTAAGTCGGACCATCGTAACTCGGGGACTACCTGTATATGAAATGTTTAACCGCACCTCCGATTTGCACAGTTGACTACGTACGGTGCGATAGAAGTCCATACATTATCGATTAATTGTTTTTTAATATCTGATTACTTTAACAATTGTCAATTAATCGCCTCAATTCGTTTTTCTAAAATTAGTCGAATCGCCAATGGCACATGCGATAATATCACTAGGCATGTGAAGCGGTCATTGATAATTTCGCAAGGTTTACGTAAATATTGTGTCAGCTGATATGCTCATGTTCGGGTTTTACTTGGCCCATCATAACTCCGGGGTCGATAAAATAGGGGGCCCCACTTTGTGTGAAGGGAATTCAAGTTGTCCTAATGGACAGACTTGCCCCCTGCCATAGCAACGTGGAATGTCCACCGCTGGCTCATGGTTGTAAATCAGAAGAGGTTCATTCGAGCAGGAAACCACTTTTGAGTGTTTAAAAATGGTGTGCGCAAAAGTACAAACCAGACCAAATATGAAACAATACAAGTAGATGGAAAAACCCATGATAGAAAGTAATCGATTCCTGAATTCGGTGACAATTCATCGAAATGCCAGTCAAATAGTGCAAGCATATATAGTATAGAGTGTTATGCAAGAGATGGGTTGTGACATCTCAGTTCTGCGTGAGATGGAGACGCCATGGGGTGGCCTGCATCCAGACCCTGACTGGTGACGATGAATAATATTAGATTTCCAGCAAAAATAAAAGAGATGTAACCTCCAGTGTGGTGGGTGGGTAGGTGTTTGGGCGAGTTCGTCGATGAGACAAAACCACCTGGTAGACAGTCCTCAACATGAGTGGAGGAATCGCCGAGTCAAGTTGAAGGGGACGGTAACCGTGGTCTAAACCAGCGGTCGGGAACCTATGGCTCGCGAGCCATATATGGCTCTTCCAGTGACGGCATATGGCTCCCAGACAATTTTGAGTTGAAAAAAAATTAATAATAAAAAAATCAGTTTGGAACTGATTTTAAAATACTTGTGATATTGCTTAATAATACTATTGTGTCATTTTAAAGTAAACAGAAATTAGTTTTGAAGATAAATTTCACGGGTCACGCCTGCATGAAGCTCAACCTCACCACGTATGAACCAGACTACAAGGCCATCAGCAAAACCATACGTTAAAAATACTATATGGCTCTCAATGAAATATATTTAGAAATATTTGGCTTTTATGGCTCTCCCAGTCAAAAAGGTTCCCGACCCCTGGTCTAAACGATAGAAGGTGACTCACTACCGGTGAGCAGGTGACCAGAGTGAATTGGGTGAGTGCCGGATCATTAATCAACCTTTCATAATCACAATAACCCCCCCTCCGCCTCAAATCGGTGCACCTGATGAGTTAATGATGACGTCACCCTGCTGCTGCTCTATATAAGACCGGGAGCCAGAGCAGAGCCTCACCATTCTGGCGAATTGCCCGATGATGCTGGATGCAATTACCAGCGAAACGTCGTGCTACTCAAATTGTAAATGTTGTGGTTTCACGCTTCAACACACCGGTGGGCTAAAGCAGTGAACTATTTGTCTTTTGTCAACGTGACACTTTTTACTGATTGGCCTTGTCAGGTGGTGGAGGGTTACGACACATGTATAAATAACGCGATCTAAACCCAAAAACGTTGATTATGAATAATATTGGTCGCGAAAGCCTGCTATGTGTTAAACTCATTAATCAACCTTGACTGCAACTGGGTGCTCCCCGAGATACGCACCTCTGATGAGCTCGGTTGGCTACGTACGGTGTTTAAGAAGTTCAACTTACATACTCTGGCTGCAGCAGCAGCAGTGATCATTGTTCAGAGTTCATTACCGAGGGCGGGGGGTGGGGAAACGCATGTGTCTCATTTGAGCGAGCGTGGCCGTGCGGAGAGGTGTGACACGCGCCGTCTCGCCCGCAGGACAAACCGGAGACCATGGAGAAGCAGTGGAAGTGCTTCAAGACGCTGCTCTTCAACCACTTCTTCATCCAGCTGCCGATGATCTGCGGGACCTACTACTTCACAGAGTTCTTCAGCATCCCCTACGAGTGGGACGCCATGCCGCGCTGGTGCGTGTCGCGCCTTGCACACACGCGCCTCTCGCTCTTTCAACACGGGGGTTGTTGTGGGAGTTAGGGACGCAGTGTTCCGGTAGGGGGCACTGCTTCACCTTAAAGGGTAATAACTCCAGATGAAAATCAAGACGTCGGCCAAAGCCAGCGATGACGCCTCCACACCTCGTTGCCAACGCGCTCTCCCCTCCGCCAGAATCCCACAGCTGCTGTACCGTAGAATCGCAGCAACCTCCAAGAACTGCCCCAAGAGTCTCCCACCATCTTCTGCCATATAGACTCAAATAGAAACCTACATGGTCATACAGGAACCTATTGACTCGCACAGAGACGCGTAGATCTGCCCTAACGGTCTCCCACCATTTTCTCTTATGGCTTCCCTGTGGTCTCCGGACTAGGGGAGACTGCTCCAATGGCTGTCTCAGCAATCGGCCCTCCCCTCATCCTGCATGTGTCCCACCCAGCACTACCTTTTGTTCCCCAATGATATCTACGAAACACCCTGCATCCATCTCGGACACTTGTACTTAAGTGCCGAATCGTCTCCGAATCGCAGCTGTCAACCCTGCTTTGTGCTGCAGCAATGTCTGCCTCTCGCGCCTCTCGTGTCATCGCTTCGCTGCCTCGCCTCTGTCCCTGCTACCAGCGCATCTATTGTCATGGCTCTCAGATAACTTTCCCGTCCGTCTGTCCTTCGACAGACTTGAGAGAGTGACCATCCTTCTTGTCACCACCTTGGCTGCATGTCCTTGCCAACTCTGCTGAACAAAGCGGTTTTTGCTTGTCCCTCACAACCCCGTAGGAGAAACTTTGTAGCTCATCGCCCACTTCTGTTGCACCCAAGTAGAGTTGGCGGTACTTTGCATCCCGTGTGAACTGCCCAGCACTCTCAGATCCACGTTTCTGTGTTTCGTGTCACGATATGTCTCGAATTTACCTAGTCCTCAATGTCAACTTAAAAGTAAAAATCGTAATTATCGTTTATTATTTCTGCAGAAATTTATCTTACGAAGCACTTCACAGCACCAATGATTAAAATGAATGAACACTGATTAATGGAGTTTTTTTTTCTCCCAAACATCACAATATATGACCACAGAACTTGGGCAATTGTTGCCATCCCATTCTAGCTGCCTTCCCGCTCCCCTGTGGTTTACCGAGGCCTCCAATCGATAAATTGTCAATGTACAACCTTGGCGGCGCCATGCCCCAGTGGTGGCGCGTTTGCCGCTTGTTGCGGACGTTTTCAGTTGAGACCTGGCAGGCCGCACTGGTTATTACAGCAAGGTGTATTAACAATTAAATACTATGTGTCATCTACTTCAGTGAACATTAAAATTATTCACAAGATCTAGCCACTGTGTACTGGCGTAACGATCCAATTCTGTGGGGGCAAAAAAAATGACACCGCAATTTACTCGTTTGAAAGACGCGTAGCAATCTTCTCGCCCAACCGCAAAAACTTGTCAGGGTCCTCCTGAAAAGGAGTTGATATTGTTTACGTGGCATAACTCAAAGGAGGGGGTCCAGCAAGGTGCCGATGTTACTGCTCTGTGTAATCCCCTTTGAGTAATTTGCGGGTCAAGTTTTAAGCATTGGGATGTTTACATTGCATGATCATTTAGTCTATGATATGATACCAGAGAACCCGGAGAAAAAGGGGAGAACATACAAACTCGACGCAGAAGGGTGCCCGAGTCGAGAGCTGAACTCGGTCCCTTGTTGCTGTGAGGCACGAGTGATGTCGCTGTGCCACCCTGCCGCCCATGTGCGTGTGGTTGTGCAGGTACGTGGTGATTGCCCAGTGCCTGGGCTGCGCCGTGGTGGAGGACACGTGGCACTACTTCCTGCACCGCCTACTGCACCACAAGAGCATCTACAAGTACATCCACAAGGTTCACCACCAGTTCCAGGTGAGGACTACCCCCCCGCCCTATCCCCCATCACCCGCCCTCCCCCCACGCACAGACGGCCAAACCCCAGACATTACTAGCCTGATCTTGATTTGAAGCTTTCGTGACTTGCAGGAATCCATACTGTTTGGTTCTTTCGGTAAAGTCACGTAGGTAGAAAATTAATAGATCACGACGTTTTGATCGCTCCACAAGCAACCGTCGTCAGGTGAGACAAACACAGCGTCAGCGGTTCTCCTGCTGTCTTTGTCTCCTCACCTGATGGCGGTTGCTTGTGTTGTGATCGAAACGTAGTTATCTATTAATTTTCTATCTACGTGACTTTACCGAAAGAACCAAAGAGTATTACCAGCCTGCTTGGCACTACGTGTGTTTGTGTGTGTGTGTGGGCGTGGTGCTAGTCACCTACCCCCTCGTGTACTGTGCTGGCCTTCATAGGTGCTTTCTGACAGCACTTTCCTCAACAGTCTGTTAAGGCTTTACGGGGGATCTTTGTATTTGTGGGGAGTGCCAGTGTAGCGGTTGGCGCACCGCGCTACAAACCCGGCGTGGTGACCCTCGTTCGATTCCCGCTCACTGCCAACGTCGTTGGCCTCAAATCGTCGTGATACGCGGTGTGTAAACATCGCCACTGGGGAGACGACGGCGGCCAGGCGTGGTGCTGGCCACACCACCCACCCCCTCGTGCGCCGTGCCAGCCTTCAAAGGCGCTCGCTCAACGGCACTTGCCCCAGCAACTTTGAAAAGGCTGTATATGGGACTTTTGTTCTTGGTGTGTGTGAAACGTGTGGGCATGTTGAGTTGCACTCGTGTTCACTGAGCGTTGTCTAGCGGGCCGACACTGGGCAGCTTCTGCTGCTGCTGCTGGGAAAGCGAATGAGTCCTCGCGCGAGGGGAATGCATAAACGCGGGAATTCCGGAGCTTGGTCGCCATCCAAGAACTCGGTGTTTGCCCACTGTGTTTGAGTGATATGTTTGTCCTTCGTGTGTCTGTAGTGTATGTGTGGCGTGCTGTGTGTGTTAACCTTGTATCATCCTGTGTGTGCGTGTGTTTTTTGCTGTGCGTGTGGTGTTGGGAGCCGTAGTGCAGTCCTTTGCAGTGGGTCCAGAATGTCGAAGTTAACTAGGGAGCAGCAAGGCTCTGTGTGTTTATATCAGTCTGGTCTGGTACTCTCTGTGTGCGTGCTGCCATTGCGTGATGGTCAGCACACTGGACTTAAAATGCAGAGGTCAGCGGTTCTGTTCCTTCTCTGGGCACAGTAGCTGAAACAATGGCGGGCAGGTTTCTAAAATCCTCCCACCACCGCCTCTGTCCACCCAGCAGCAGTGTAGATGGGTTCACTGCAGTTAAATCGATCGGCAGATTGCGTGCGTTGGGGTAAAATGTGGGTAACCCCACCTATTCCAAAACGCTCGGTCGGCATGGAAGAGCAGACCAATTACACCCCTACAACCTCGCTCTACAAGTTGTAGCCCTTCCGCCAGCCGTGGCATAAGCGGGCAATTGCAGGGCTGCACCTTCATCTCGAACTAGCAAAGTCATTCGAATCGCAGCGACTCAGCAGAGTGAGCGAGAGCATGAGTTTGTGGGGTCATTGCCACGGCAGTGATTGAGAGAGGTGGTCACATAGATACGCGCTTAGGGTTAGGTCACTGCGCAGTGCCACCAGCGTGGCCTCGTTTATGGCGCGACCTTGAGAAACCTTATCTGGTGGCGGGTCGAGGTTCGTCGCTTGAGCAGAGCAGGTTTTGTCAGGGCCATCGGGCAATTACTTGCGTCAGCGTGGTTTGCTGTAAAATCGTTTGGGTGGACGGTTTTTTGTTGTTGTTTCGTAACTGAATTTTCAACGGCCGGTGCGGTAATGGGAATTGTTCAGACATCCCAAAGTAGCCAGGAGTCCTCCTGAATAAGGGTGTTGAGACTTGCCGAGGCTTTTGCTGGGTGAAGGGCTTGAGTCTCTTTTCGCGCGAGACCCTGTAATGGAATGCGAGTTATGTAATTTAACCCAGAAAAGACCTCGCCGAGTCTCAAGACGACATTTCAGGAGGTGTCCTGCGCTGTGGGGGGGGGGGGGGGGGGGGGGGGGGTTTGGCCAATTCCTTTTAAAGGAATGTTGGTATTCCACGTGGGAGGAGCATCGGGTTGCCCACAGAAAATCCACGCGAGGGGATAACTTACACTCAGTGGGTTCACAAGCCCACTTGCTGCACTGAATGTTTACAGCCACTTAACAGCCCAAGTGGCTTTTGTTGTTTCACAAGTCTTGACGTGATCTCCCAACCCCCTCGTCCAAATCGCCAAATTTCAGGCGCGAGTCAAGCAGTCCCTTCCTCGGTGAGAATCAGAAGACCCCATCACTAACCCTACCCGCATCCCTGACCCCACATCACTACCACGCGGCGCTGCGCTTAACCCCGTGTCTATACCCCTAACCCTGCATTCCTAACTCTAACTCTGCATCGCTGACCCGACTCTATCCCTAACCATACCCCTAACCCCGCGCGTGTGTGTCTCCCTGCGTGTGGCCGTGCAGTCCCCGTTCGGGATGCAGGCGGAGTACGCTCACCCGGCCGAGACGGTCATCCTGGGCATGGGCTTCTTCATCGGCATCATGATCTTCTGCAACCACCTGGTGCTGCTCTGGGCCTGGGTCACGTTCCGCCTCATGGAGACCATTGACGTGCACAGGTTTGGCGCGCACACACGCACACGAGACCCCACGCGCACAGATGCTACGCACAGACGTACCGCGCACACAGATGTACGCACGGAGAGGCCCACGTGTACGTGCAGACGTACAGCGTAGACCTAAGCACGTGCACGCACAAATTCACGCGCAGACGGTAAACGCAGACGTACGCACACCTGCATCCGCAGGCCGTGCCCGAGTGCTTGGCTCCGACTCGGCCGTTTGTGAATTTCATTTGCGCGCACAAATAAACTCGCCCTGCTGTGCACGCCCGCCTGCTTGCTTGCTCTCCGCTCTCTTCGGAATTTTTGTTTCGTTTTTCCTTTTGCGTGGCCAAGCGCTGCGGGCCGGCCCAGCGTCACATGATGTGGGAGTGAAGCTCACTCGGAGAGCTGGAAAACGCAATGCACACAACACACCACGTACACAACGCACACATACACCTCAAAACATGCACAACATGCACAACACGCACACATACAACACACACACAAAACATACACCATACACATACAACACACAGACACAAGACACATACAGAACAGATCACGCGTTCGGCTGGGGTAATTGCAGGACTCTGAGGAATGTATATGCTCATGTCAGCTTGTGGCAGAATACAAACACTGGCAGTAATTACGGTGAGCACGCACACACCGAGAGCGGGCCGTGGGCGATGACACACGGGGAATGAATGAATCGGGAGTGCTGGTATTGCTGGGTGCTGCTGCTGAACGTGGCCTGTCGTGCAGCGCTGCGGTGGCAGTGAGAATTGGTGGATCGCGCACAGATTTGTAATTACTTCCCTGCCTAGACCTCGGGATATCGAGGCCGCCATCGTCCACCGTATGGTGGCAGCACAGCAAGTAGGTGTATTACAATCTGTTCCATCTGTACAGGGATTGAGTGTTGCCCCTCACTTCTGACGTGCGGGTTTTCTCAGGGCACTCCGGTTTCCTACCACGTGTATAAAGCACTAAGTAATATACCAATATAAAATCACGGAGCTTGGGCAATCATTGGCGCCGGCTCTAGAGAGGCTGCCTTTCTCAATTCTCTGCGGTTTCACACGCAGCTCTCAATCATCCTCACTCTCTCACCGAGAGTGAAACTCTAGATATTTTACTGTTGTGATTATTGTTGTTCGGCCTGGGTGCTGGGCGTCGGGGCCTGCCCCACGAACCTTGGCTCTCGGTCCAGCTGGCGTGGGCTCCACGAGCTTGCGCAAGGCTACTGCGGGGGCTCGCCAGCAGCGAGCACCAGCTGGCTCCGTGGATTATTTTGCCAAAATAATAAGCGGGGAGAACGCACGGCCAAATTTGTCTCGGTTTTCCTTGGCCGACTTTGCCGCTGCTTTTGCTGGATACCCGTCTTGGTTGTGCGTTTCGAGCCCCGTGGCCACCCTAGTTAATCCTGCGGGTGCATTTTCCGAAACAGTACTTACGCACCGTCTGCTTCGCAGTGCATGGTTCCAAAATCCGTACCTCCCCATGAGCACTTTTGGCTACGTATGGTGCGAATGAAGTTCTACGTACGTACAAATTTAGCACGTTTGAAAGGAAAAACGCAAAGAACTCTCGTGGTATTACGTGCACGTATACACTAGCAGCCATCGCCCCCCTATTACCAGACTGATGCCCAGTTTGCAGGCCAGGTGCCGAGTCGCCTCGTGCCACACAGGTCCAGCTGCAGCTGGGGGTGATCTTCAGGGCACCACGGTGGCGAGATGTCAACTACCTTGCCGGGTGTGCAGGAGACCGTGGGTTCGATCCAGACCCTAATGCCTGTTGTATATTGGAGTTTGTACATTCTCCCTGTGGTTGCGTGTATTTATCTCCGGGTCCTCTGGTTGTTCCCCCCACATTTAAGACACATGCGTTTCGAGTATTTGGCTGCTATAAATTTCCACGTGATAAGCCACCTCGTTGAGCTATCATTTGTGATTGCCAGGTTTGCTTCTGAAAAGAGCTCTACACCTGAGTGGGCCGTACCTGGTAAAATAAACAATAGTTTCGTTTAAATGTGTTCCGATGCGATGCAAGTCGCTTATCTCGTGAGAAGTGCCACGCCACGGGCGTCGCGGTGGGCGGCGGCTCCTCCATCAACACGACTCCTCACTGCGAGTAGTATCATGATTATTATTATTGCTGTGCTTGTAACCGTGGGTGCCTGTCGCTTGCTCTCCCATCCCCTGTGGCAGCGGCTACGAGATCCCGCTCAACCCCCTGCACATGATCCCCTTCTACGCTGGCGCTCGCTTCCACGACTTCCACCACATGAACTTCGTGGGCAACTATGCCTCCACCTTCACGTGGTGGGACCGGCTGCTGGGCACCGATTCGCAGTACAAGGAGCACTACACGGGCAAGACGGCGCAGAAAGACAAGAAGCTCGAATAAAATCCGTGGCGGTCGGGAGTAGGCGGGGGGCTAGGGTCGGGAGGGGGGACCCAGAAAACACGGGACGTTGGGCCCAATGTCCCGTGTTTACTGGGGAGCAATCGGCGAACAGTGCGGGGGGCAGTGCCAGGCAGACACATCTCTCTCTCTTGAGAAAACCGTCGCCGCCTTTGCGGTTCGTGCCAGCGGAGCGGAGCGTGGATGCCGCCACCCCCCCCCCTCCATGCTCGGTAGTGTGGGCTTAGAAAGCGCCGGGGGAGCGTGGAAATCGCTGGCGTCGCCGGACGTGCAGTCGGCTCTGCGAATGCTTCCTCCCCCTTCTTGCTACCCAGTTAACGCGGAACGTTGAGCCAACGTTGAGGCAATGTTGGCCCATGGTTCTGCTCGTGTGACTTATCAACTTGGCAACCAGCGGCGATTTTAATTCCGTAAATGATTTAGCTCCGAAACGGTTTCAAGGCGTTGGTTGTAAATCCCGCAAGTGGTGGCCGTGCGTACCTATGCGTGCCGTGCTAGTGTAGATGCGCCAGGATGGCCGTGTGCCCGGTGTAATGCCTCGGTGATTCGGCGGTACCATGTGCCGCACGGCGTGCATGCTGTTTCAAGGGACCAGCGGAGTTGTCCCGACCGATTATTTGCACATTCTGGGTCGTGTCAGCCTTCGCCTGCCGTGTGATGTCTTAGAGGAACCCTCGTGTACAAAGTCTGTTGTCTCTGTTAAACTATTGTTGCGTATCAATCTGTGCGAACGTACTACTTGTCAGAAATCAATCTCGTGCTCTGCATAATATGCGTTTAAAGGCAAGGGAAGGTGATGTGAAGGAAAAAAATATTATATTGGAATTTAAAGAAATAAATTAAAAATTTCGCAGCGGTGAAATGGGCTGAAATGAAAGTGGTGTTTTTAATAAATGTGGCTGATGTTTTGTACGCTCGTTCCAATGCGGATCGTCAATGCGGGGCAATTGCCCCCTCTGTGTTTACGCTGGGACCTCCCGCATCTCCATCGTCACAGCCACGGCGCGTCACACCCACTCTTCCCCCACCCCCGTCGACAGAGACGCAACTCGCAAACGCTCTCGTTCCTGATTGAGAAAGTAAAGTATCCGCTGTGTGGAGTGCATCGCACTCGAGATATATCCGCGATATAATAACACCACAAGTATACATCTTGCAACTAAAAATGTCCCGAAACTCTTGAAGAGTGTACAGCAAGAAGGCTCCGTGTAGGCATCGTCGTTATTTTTGGGGGGCCACGGTGGCGAGATGTTAACTACCTCGCCTCGTATCCAGGAGGTCGTGGGTTCCGTTCCAACCCTGCTGTATATTTGGAGTTTGCATGTTGTCCCCATGATCGCGTGGATTATTCTCCCGAGTCCTCCGATTTTTCCCTTCACACACATCAACATCACGCATTTAGAGTATTTAGCTGCGATACATTTCCACGTGATAATCCACTTCGTTGAGCTATAATTCGTGTAGCCAGGTCTCTTCTGAAAAGCTCTACATAGCTCAGTGGGCCTTACCTGGTAGTACCTGGTAACATAAAAAAAGTTTCCTGGGATAGGTTCACACCCCCACCGCCACTCGATGTTGTTCCTTACCTCGTTTGTGCAGTTTACTTCGCCCCATGGCGTACACGCCGTGCTTGGCGGGCATCTCGCCTGACACATCTCATTCGTGGTGCGAGATTTGATTTGAGGTCGTGACCTTCGGGTTGTGAGCCACGCCTGGCCTCGTTGCAGCCGGCGTTGGATAAACGATCATTCGGCTCAAGCGTCCGAGATGCCGATCCGCTGCTTCTCCGTCCCCTGCCCAGCAGCGTAAATGGGTTTGTCGCAGATGAATCGGCAGGTCGCGTGCGGTGGGTTAACGTGTGGCGAGGCCCACCTTCCAACACGTCTGGTCAACGTGGAAGAGTAGGCCAACATACCGTCGCTGTCGTGGAGGAACCTGCCTCCAGCAGTGGCATGAGTGAGCAATTGCGGGGCTGTACCCTTACCTTTTTAAATCCTTTATATTAAGTTCACTTGCTTGCTTAGGACCGTGCAAATCTTTTGGTCGTTTTTTAACCCACTTCCCGTGATCCAATCGAGCTGACATTTTGCACACAGACTCGTTGTGCATGACAATGCCTTTTCGTGAAAAAAAAATTTCCCAAATTTTACACTGTTTAGGGAAAAATAAATAAATATTTAATTAACAATTGTTTAATGCTGCCAGACAATCATCTGACCCATAGGTGGAAGCCATCTCAAGCCAGAGGACGAGAGGACTTTAGCCGCCCCGATGCCACGCATATAAAGGATTTATAGTGAAAAACTTTGTTTTTACGGGTTTACTTGTTAATCCTGCAAACATCCACCGATCCAACAACTGCCTCGTAAACGTCCTCCATACACATTGCTGATGAAACTTCCTCTTGTATTTAAGTGGATGCGTTTCTTTATGTAAATCTGTGGTCTCTGTGCAAGTCTGTCTCGCACAGGGCACACCGCTGCCCGCTTCAATCATTCGCTGGCAGAATGTCGGATGCTCTTCTTATAACAACAGATATTTACGGCACACGTATATCATGTGATGCGTGGGCGGCGCAGAGCAAAACGCCATCGATATTTTTTATTTCTTGCGTAAAGCCCGCGGACAAGCGGGAAGAGAGGCCCGAACCCGCACCAGCAATCGCCCAAGCTCCGTGGCCCTTGTATGGTGATGTTTGTTCAACTCCCGTCGTTCAACGGGCTGCTCCTGGAGCCGTCCGCTGCCACCGCCGGCCAACCTCGACGCGAACAATTCAAAAGCCGCCCAACGGCTGCGCAACCGAAGCCAAAAGGAGTAACCGGCTGCGTGCGTTGTGACGCGTGATGCTTGGCTGTCGGGGGGGTTATGCTGACCCTTGAAATATCTGGCAGTGAAATTCAGCCAGGGCTCACTTGGACTGCGCCCCAGGTCCCTCTTCAGCGTCCGGGCCGCGGAGAGATCTACGCTCCCAGCGCAGAGCCCACTGCCAAAGTGGCGCGGTGCGTTGAGATGAAATATCGCTCGGGGCTTCCTGTGCGAGCTGGCGTCGGGCTCGTGCGCTCTGCCCTGTGGTATTTTTTTTCCAGAATCAATCTTTAAAAATCCACATCCATCGCCATGATTATTTTTTAATTTTCACAATATGTCCCCGCACTTGCACAGTCTCTCCACAGTCCATCTCCAAACTCCTCAAACCCATCTTCCCAAAATGGAATTTCCACAAGCGAGGGACCGTATTGCGATACGCCACTGTGGTCTTGCGCTCCTTCACCAGAGGAGGGACGGCAAAATCCACGCGAGCTCACCCTTGCCTCCCGAAGCCCCTCTCGTCTTGGCCAGCAGACCCAGACATTGGCATCTCGCTCCTGAACGCATTGCCAGCAATCGCGCGCAAAGAGGAGACTCGGGCAATGCCAGAAGAGAGGAGAATTACCCTCCGATGGCGTTGGCTCTTCAAGTGCCGCATGATTATTGAGCAACAAAAAAAACACACCAGGTAGGGGGTGGTTATAACTTCCCACGAAAACTTATGACAGATTTTCCAGGATAAACGGCGACCTACCCTCAAGAAGAAGACAATCCCTGGAAATACAGGACAGGTGGCAACCCTGCCCCAGGCTTCAATGGCGGCGCTCGGCACAGGAAAAGGAAGGCGAACTTGGGTGGGACCCAAGCAGCTCAAGGGGTCCCAGATTCGTCACGAATTTATTTTTATTTTTGTGGGTCAACGAAGTAACAGCTCATAATGAAATCAAATGAATTCAAGGTTAAAAAAAATGTACATTCGCGTTCGTCACTAGAATTCCACTGGAATCGATTGCCGATTTCCTGACTTTTGGAGGCGATAAACGGTTCTGAAAACGGATTGCCTATCATGTGTATCAGGCTTCCCCCTCCCCCCTCTCTGTCCAATGCGTTGGCGTGTGCAGCAGTTTGTCTCTTGCGCACAATCGCTTCCACGCCGTCGCCCACCCTTTTGGCCCCACCCCCTCCCTCCCGATACGTTCCATTCATTGGCTACCACATTCTGATGAGCTCCCCCCCCCTCTCCTCCCCCCTCAACTCGCTTTTAAGGGATTACATCTTGAATCATTGCCTCACTTGATGCAGCTAATCTGGCTGTGACGGTCCCACCTGATGACGGAGACTTGTGTTGCCTCCGAAACGTCGTGATCTTTATTTTATTTTTATTAATTTTGATGTTTTACCTACGTGACTTTACCGAAAAAACCTAAGAATATGGATTGCCTGTTGACACCGGTTCGTGTTTCACAACCTTAGTTTCTGGATAAGTACGCAGACAATAGATCTGCTTCGCGTGCCTACCCCTTTAAAGACGGCCTTTGGGAGTGCACCATTTCAGTCCGCATTAGTGCAGTGCAAGCAAAACTTGGGACCGGTTTCCACATGCGGGGTCTCATCAGGCTTGCGTGAACAGGCGCCAGATGTTACGGGCAAGGTCAAGTTCACGTTGTTTAACGAGACCAGGATAGAGGAGGTTCCATTTATCTTTTTATTTATATAGCGCCTTTATCCAAAGTGCATTACAAGGGCTATGAGTGGTACAATGAGGGTAGTTAAAGGTGATACGGTGAATAGGGATGGGGTATGGGGAGGGAGGTTAGTGGCTATGGGAATTACGGTGGGTACCTCGGGATGGGGGCAGTGCCGGATTAAGCTAGTGCAGGGCCTGTAGCATATGCTATACTGGTAGGAACCTCCTGGTTACACCAGCCCACAGGGGATTATTGTGTCCGTCCGTCCGTCGTGCATCCAAAAATGGGAGGGGTGGGGCTAGGTGGAGGGTGGGGAGGGGCTGGTTGGGGAGGGGAGGGTGGGGAGGGGCTGGGTGGGGAGGGTGGGTGGGGGGTGGGGCTGCGTGGGGAGGGGCTGGGTGGAGAGGGGAGGGTGGGTGGGAGGGGTGGGGAGGGGCTGTGTGGAGAGAGTGAGGCTGGGTGGGGAGGGGCTGGTCACCCCGTGGTGCCCTTATAAAACTCAACGTTTAACCTACTCACGCCGGCTTGTGCCCGCCCTCACAGTCGGCCATATTTGCGGAATACACCACGCCGCCGTTGACCCTGGCCATTGACCGAGCAACCCAACGTTCCTACCAGCTCCCTCCGCAGGAATGTGTTAAAGGGGCATTAAAAATATAAAAAAAATATTAAAACACATTTTTACTTGCACAGTAAAGTAATTGCATTATTTCATTTGCTATACAGCCAGATAATACGACAAATCTCTAACCTTAAACACCCGGTCGTTCATACAAGTTGAAGGCGGTATAGTACTATAGTAATAGAGCAAGTGCAGAATCACTGAACCGGAATTGATAGCTTGAAAGCATTTAGCGCGGGGGCACTTGAAAGTGCGGGGCCCGTAGCTACTACATGTGTAGCTGCTTGTGCTACTCGGGGGCCGTCCATAAATGACGTCACGCACCTAGGGGGGGGGGGGTCAGACATTTATGACGATGTGTGACGAGGGGGGTTGAGAAATATGACGTCACATCAAAATGCGCAACTTTAAATAATGATAGACAACACGTTCTACTTAATTAAATCGACTTTTTAATAAATGTTTACTCCTACAGCATCAGAGTGCAGCGCCATTTTCAAATACGCACTACAATGACAATAGTTTAAAGCGATTTGAATCATGTTTTATATTTTTTTGGGGGGGGGGGGGCAGAGCTTTGTGACGTCATATTTGACGGGGGCTCTGACTTTTTGTGACGTCGTGTGACGAAGGGGGGGGGGGGGGGTCAAAAATCGTCCAAAATCGCGTGACGTCATTTATGGACGGCCCCCGGGTAATCCGCCACTGGATGGAGGAGGGAAGGATGGGCCAGGGAGACGCGGAAACTGGACAGGTAGGGTGCTCGTTGCTTGACGTGGAGGGGAAGTTCGCTCGGTGCGAGGGGACAAGTCAGGGAACGGTGGATTGTGTGCAATGAGGTGGGGGGGGACAGTGAGGCGTAGGGATATTGAGAGCGCAGTGGGCGAGAGGGGACATATTCTTAGGTTTTTTTCGGTAAAGTCACGTAGGTAAAAATTAAAATTAATGAAAGTAAAATAAAAATAAAATAAAAATCACGACGTTTCGGAGGCAACACATGCTTCCGTCTTCAGGTGGAACCGTCACAGCACGATTGCTGTATCAAGTGATACAGGGGACATAATGCGAGACAAGGGCTGCGAGGTACGGTAGGGCGACCTGGGCCATGGTTCTGTCAGTAGGGGGGCGGCGATTGCTGCTGTTTGTGTCTTCGCGTGTGATCCCAATTGAGTCATTTGCGGTGTCGTTTTCTCCTTTGCCCAATTCGGGCCCTCTGATTCGCGTCACCGGCATGGATTCGTACGCCCGCGGTAATAACCGGGGCGGCCGCTGGCTCCGAACCTCTACAACAAACGGCGAACGCGCGTTCACCTCCCGCCCTCTGTAACGTCACGGTGCAATGGTTCACTGCAAAAAAAAATGACAATAAACACAAAATACCGATCATTCGCGTGTC